AACCCAGGCAGAAGTAATGAACGGACATTGGTGGAACTTGAGGGAAACCATTCAAGGGGTTTCACCTCCGGTTGAACGCACAGAAAACGATTTCGACCCAGGTGCAAAATACCACATCCCCGCAAACGTTCCATACGTCAGGTAAATTCAAAAACATGTACAGTACGATATCATCAATGCCATGGGTTCAACTAAACTAAATGTCGTGATTCACGCTTCAATTTCCAGATACTTCGTGAGCTTCATAATTCAATTCCAATTTTACGAGTCGTTGTGTCTCGCCGCTGGCGAATACGACCCGAATGATCCCGCCAAGCCTCTGTACAAATGCGATTTCTATCAAAACGCGGAAGCCGGACAACTGATGGAGTACGTCTCAATCAATTAACGAACTACGTTTCCGTCCTGAAATGATTTTCTCACATAGAAACGCCCTGAAACTCGGCTATTCGTTGCCGTGGACGGAGACCATGGAGGCCATTACTGGACAAAGAGAAATGTCCGCAGCATCTCTCCAGGCGTACTTCAAGCCTTTGGAAGAATTCATGGATAACTATTTGGCAGAGACTGGAGACTGCATCGGCTGGGGAGGTACGATTCAAATTACTCGCGGTATAACCAGACCCGGTTTAATAAATAAATGTGTCTCCTCAGATGAATGCCTCAAGACCAACAACTAATTTGTTGCGGTGCAAAAAGTTTGCGACGACGTCAATTGAAAATCTGTTCCGCGGTTGAACAAGCTGCAGAATAAATGCTTCAACTGGCAAGACCTGATTTGTTAACTTTGCTAATAAGGTCTGAAAACATTCCAAAATTACAAATACAGGTGGACTCTCACTACACCGATCTTGTCTACACAACGATTTTGTTGTTGTTGGTTGCATTAGGTTTTCTCCGCATGCTATAAGGATTTTCTTCAACGAATTTCTCCTTACAACGAATTTTTTCGGTCCCTTGAATTTCGTTGTAGAGAGAGAGAGAGTCCACCGGCATAAGGGGTGTTTCAAACATTTCGTTTTTTGTCAGTTGCAAACTCTCCTTATTACCGTATATTGATTGAGATGAACACGATTTTTAATGAGTACTAATATTGAAGTGAAGATAGAGAAGCTTCCTATCAGTGTGAAGAGGTCGAAATTTATCAAAATGAAATAAAAAAAATCTTGAGTTAATGGACAAAGGCTTGTTAGTGAGCCAATGATCCCGAAAATTATTTTTAAAATTTGACGCAGAAACTCAAACCTGAAGAAATGAATTTCAAGATACTAAGGTACTCTGGAACCAGTCCTCGTACATCGCGTCGAAAACAAAATAAGTAGTTTTAAAATCCAGATAAACTTAAAAAAAAAAAACACACACACACACAAGACGCTCGACCACAGAAACAAGTGCCGATTTCAGAATAAATACAGAGAAACGTTTCAGAAGAAGTTCTTCGCTTTATCGACAACGGGCTTCCCATGGATCTC